CCTCGAGTTCTTTTCTTGCCTCCGCGTACACGAGGTGGGGCCGATCTCCTCGATTCTCTAGCCTCATCTCCCTCGCCCTCCCCCCCCTCCCCCTGCTCGAGCGTTCCGCTGGCTCGATTGTCGTCGATTAAACCGAGTCTTCCCTCGTTTTTTCGTCTAGTAGCGGATCCCGGGATGCCTTTTTGCGAGGGCTGCCTCGCAAGAAAAGGAGTACAAGCGAGTGACGGGACTGTTAAAAGCTCGTTGCGCATATATTCGGCACGCTGAATTTTGTTAATTTAAGAAACGTTAGGTGAGTCAGCGATATGCTCACGCATACGCGATTACTATTTCAACGATGTGGTTACTCCGTTGCGTAATGTTTTTGTAATTAGGTGTACTTGTGTGTGTACGAATATTTAAAAAATTTATAGACAATAAAAAATTTATATCAAATCATTAGATATACGATATACAGGCAAATTGATTTATTTGTCATAATTGAAGGATATATCTTTTTACAGGATTGAATACAAATACTTACGTACATTATAATTAATTTCTTTATCAATTCGTTCATTATTTTTATTTTGTGCCTCTTATTAAGCTTTCTTTAAGTTATTTTACATATCTTTTGCCAATCATTTTGAACGAAGCAAATAAAATTGGCAAATGTTAGGTCCGTGGAAAGTTATGAAATCGCAATCGGCGGACGGAAGACGAATGGCAACGTAGTTCCCCTGACCACTCCAATTCCCATTAACTCGCCTCCGCGGCGATATTAATAGACGCGGGTGCAAAACGTTCGCGTAAGCGGCGCTCGTCAAACGCGACGTGTTTGCAATAACGCCGTAACTTTATTATCCGCCTCGGGGATTGGTCTTTTAGTATCGACGCGCAGCGGTCCGCCGTTTATTTGACTAACGGGGTGAGATGCGCGTGGCTAGTGTGGCCACTAGGAAACGGGTCTTTGAAGTCAAAAGGTCGGATAAACCTCCGGTTAGAAGTTGCCTTCGCCTCGATCTTCGCGGCATATGTGACGCTTTTTCGACGGAAACTACCAATGCAAATTACAGGCGCAATGAGAATAGAACGAAGTGTCGTCGTGATGAATTAGCGAACTACTGCTAAATAACTGATTATTTTAACTTTTAGTGTGCTTTGATTTAATTCAACGGGTAAATAAATTACTATTTGGACTATATGTTCCGACAGAAATCTCCTAATTAATTGCTATCGTAATAATGAGACTATAAAATGCACGATAATATATAGTTTATGGCCGCGTAGCAAAATATCTGAATATGAATATTATTTCATTAAGTCGTAGATTAACTTATATTTACGATATGAAGTCATTTATAGGTATATTACTACTTACTAGAAATAAAATAGGTAAGGCACATCTTTCGGAATTTGCATAAGACACGATGATCCGACAATTTATTTGAACAGCCGTGTATAAGGCTACGCATAAATGTTTACTATCTTTCCGGCATATCCATTTCCACTCTTCCATAAGATTCACACATCATAAGACTTTTGCACCACCACAATAGCTTACACTTAACTACAATGTTTAACTTCTCGTGTAGTTTCGCATACTGCAACTTCTCGGAATAGCTATATCTATGTCGCCCGTCTATTATCTCATGCCTAGAGGTTTCGTTGCATTCTCGCTGTAGATTGATGCCGAGTCGAGAAATAGTACATGCGTTAATTCCAGGAAGATTTCGCAGCTTCTGACAGCTGGTCGTGATCTAAGAGAACTAGGAAATGTGCAGCGTAAGGTCGTGTCTTTCCCCTTCCGATCGATAGTTAAGACAATCTGGAAAAATTATTTCAGATCATATCACGAGAAGTTAGGAATGTATTCGAAGAAAGAAAGAGATACAGAATACTTTAACAAAAATATAAAATATATTAATAGTTCTTTAAATCTGAATCAGTGCATACTCACTGATTATCAATGGTTATTCATTGAATACATCAGTGCCAAGTATTTCACTGGTAATTAGTGAAATTATAGTTAATATTAATAGTTTAATTATAGATTATGAGTGAAATTTTAATTAGATTACAGGTACTGACTCAGTCAGTGATTTTTCAGTACTTTTCCACTGATTTAGATTTAGATTTAGATTGAGAGAGAGAGAGAGAGAGAGAGAGAGAGAGAGAGAGCAATATTTATTGGTAAATATCGAGAAATATCCCTTTGAGAACATCCTGCTTGATCCTATAATGCAATATGTTTTTATACGAACGTTTTCGTTACGAAGGCAAGATACCGTTTCCTTCGGAGAACCCTCGTAACAGATTGAAGAAGCTTCGGCGCTTGTCGTCCGTCAGACTCTATCGGGGACCAAGGGCCTTAACAGGAATATCGACGAATCGAAGTTCCTGCGGCTTGTACTCTGTCAGTGGGCCTGATCGTCCCGCGAGACGTTACATGCGCCATATTTTGCTCCAACGAGAGCGATGCTGCTCTCCTTTTTTCCCCCTTTCCTCTCCCTCTCTACCTCCTCCTGCTCATATCTCTTTCCACCTCTCTGTTTCGCTCACGCGCGAAATTCATTCCTCGATCTCTCGATCGCGACGGGATTTCTCGTGAATTCCCGTCCGCGTATCATCTCGCGTATCATCTTCGTTCTTGTCGTCGTCGGTTCTCGGTTATAGTCGCCACTCGAGGTGGAATCCTCCTCGCCCAAATGACGATGTCACTCTCGAGCACGATTCTCCATGTCGTCGTCCTATACCTCTGGCTTCTTATTCCCGTTCGTGCAGAACGAAAAGCGGGCGAAGGGAAAGACGAGGGGGGAGGGGAGGGGGGGGGGGGGCGGGCAGGCGGGCGAGGAGGCACATCGGGAACGGACGCGGCGTGGCGATGTACACGGGCGCGCGAGCAACCGTCCTTAACGGAATTATTGCCATTAAGGTCGTTGCATTCCCGAGAGGCCGTCGTGTACGCGCCCCGGCATCCTACCGACGCAGAACTAATGATCTTAATTAACGTTTCGTAACGAAGGTCGCCCGGACTGTCCTCTTTCTTCTTCTTCTTCACCATTTCTCCCCCTCCCCCCTTCCTCTGCTAACCCTCCCTGCACCGTTTCTCTTTTTACCTTTCCGCCTTCGTGCCCCGTCCTCCGCGGACTCCGCGCTTCTTCCACCTCCGTCCTTCTCCTCTTCTTGTTGGTACCCTCCTGCCTTCGAGTCTCGGCCTCCTCGACTTCGTAGTTCCCACCGCTCGTAGTTCACTCAGAATCCATTTCGCTTTATTCTTCTTTTTTTTTTCTATCCCCGGTGCAATCATCAAGCCATTCCCTCTCTGCTCTTTCTCTCTGTCTGATCTCCTCCCGCATTACACCCTCTCGGTGTACTCGTGCAGCGTTCCTTCCGTTTCTATATAGTGTCTTCTTTTCCCTTCATAACATTCGTTTCTCCTCTTTCTCTTTATGTCTTTCTTTTTCATTCGTAAAATTGGTTTAACGTCGCCACAAGTTTAATGCGCCGGAGCTTTAATTATCATAATGGTGTTAGCGTGTTCAGATTCAAGTACTGTCGTATACTTATACTATTCGCGATGTACTCATCCTTTTCTATCGCCTTCTTCGACGACTTTTTTCGCGTTGTCATTCTCGCGCGATCATATAGCGTATCGTAACTCTCATTTTCTCTTCCTTAGGAAGTTCCGCTGCTTTGCGGGATATAATTATGATTCTGACTTTATTCTTTGTTTTTTTGTCGGTTCATATGGCCAATCGTTCCATATGATCATCGACCTATGATAGATAACAAAGCTTCATGCATTGCCACTAAATGTTATAGAGATGTTTAGTATATTTGAAGAGGAGGGAAGAGAAACCGCGCGAGAGACAGTGTACTTTCATTGGCATAATAATCTTATGTTGTGTCGACCGCAATTGCATGGCGTCAATACAATTACTATAATTCACTCGTCGTTTAGTAAATTACGCGTATAAAGCTGACACCGCCACTTTAGCAGCCACAATCGAGTAAAAGCGCGTACGAAAATTTAGCGTTTTTTTCCTTGTTAATTTATTGGTCTATTATATAATTTGTTATAGAATACGATCTGATTATTCACGTAGCGAACACGAAAAATTAGTAGTATTAAAGAATTCGTTGAGAATGACAAATCTCTCATGTTCAGACGATGCTAATGGGGTAAATCCGAATTCTCTGTAAATAGCGAAGCTCCGGCTGATTTATGAGGCACGACGGTGTGCTTAAGGAGAAATAAATTCTGATCCAAACACGAGCGATTAATCGCGAGGATCAGGGCTGCGCCGAGACACAACACTTCGTGCTTATGGAACTGGAGATTCTACGGATTCTGGAAGGAACGGATGGGCGTCGCGGGAAAGGGGAGCTTCCGCTTAATCTCACGTTCACGCGAGATCGTTCCTTTTTCCACATTGCGCGCGGAAAGATATTGCGTAGCTAAATAACCGCGCAACTTGGCCGCGGCGGGATTTGTAGCTTCCGTAAATTATTCTGACCGCGGCGTTTTCCTCTCTAGCGCGTGTCGTGTCTCAAGGGAATGACGTTGCTCCGAGTTCCTCGCGGTTCGCGCGATTATATCGTTTGCTTTGAGTATCGAGCGCAGAAAGGTTAATTAAACGCGGTAGCGTATCGAAGTTCTCGCGTTTAGATTGTTTTTTTTGTCGTTGAAAAAGTGTGACTTATATCAATATTTATCCAATGTTATTATTGCCAAAAATTGCCAAAATTTCTTTGAACAGATGCAAGAGATGATATACATAACATTTATAACAATTGATGATATACATAGCATTTATAACAATTTTATTTATTTGGTAATTTTTAGACAACAAAACTATATTGAATATATTGGATTGAACGATATTTGTTCCATTTTTGCATTTAGACTAATGCCTTTTAGCAAAAACAAAAATGAAACAAATTTTCCGCGTTCAACCTAATAATTAATATATAATTTGGTATATTTAATTTTGGTATTTAAATCTCTGATTTTACAGGACTGTAGGAAGCCAGCTGGTGATGGATCCGATGCTGGTCTGTAAAAAAACGAGACGACTGAAGGGGAAGCTAGCTGACATTTGTCGTAAGGAGCCATCTCTGTTGAAAGAAATCGCGAAGGGCGTTCAAGTGGGTACTAGGGAATGTCAATACCAATTCCGAAATCGGAGGTGGAACTGTACAACCGTCAAGAGATCTCTCAAGAAGATTCTGCTCCGCGGTAAGTCTCATCGAGATTGAGATGCACAAATCGGTAATAATTAATTTCATTGTCAGAGATAGAGATCGCAGGTTGAATAATTTTTATTACTCTTAATTTGTTATTTGATATATCTGTTTAACATAATGGACCACATATATCTTTAATATTTTTTTTCCATATTTAAATGGATTTAAATTAAGAAATAATTTTTTTTACATTTTGTAATAAATAACGGGCATTTAAAGATCCGAATGCTTGTCTTTTGCGCACGTCGGACACTCGATCCCGTAAATTCGTGAATCCGGTCGCATTATTCGCGAGTCATGGGCACAAGGTCGAGCAGACGCTATTCCGGGCCCCGGTCTCGCCCTCTCGTCGAAAAAGGGATCTCCGGTCCTATGGTGCCCCTTTCAGAAGCGAGAAGGGGGCCCGCGCACGACAATGCACACGCTAGCGGCAGATTACAGGGCGCTACTCGTTCGACATTAGGCGAACCGGATGTCGATTACACACTCCCCTACAGGGCCTGAGGGCGATTCGTTACGATTAAATGCCGGTGCCCGATCGGCACACCTCCAGAATGGGCTACCCCTTTAGGACCTTTAAGGACCTTTCTACGTGCGGGGCCTTTAAGGGGCCTGTGCGCATGTGGAGAGCATGACGTTGACCACTCTATACCGATACGAGTGTATTAACGATCGTAAAACACGATGCACAACAATAGCCTTAGTATTTTTATGTTTTCATTTAGGATAATCGACTATTCAATGAAAAATAATATTATATTATTGCATATTATTTTTCTTATATTGTTTTACGCTTACGTATCCTTAAATTATATTTACATATTAGAATTTTTATTGGAATGAAAATGGATGTATAAAAGAGAATTTAATTTTCAGTGTAGGTTAGATTTATTTTTAAAGGTATATTAAAAAAGAAGGAAATGTCGGTTTTCTTTATATATAACGTATATTTCTTATTGTATTATAATCTTTTATAATACATTTTTTTATTTTATTGTACAACTTGGAGGAGACACAGTTTTCCTTTGTATCTCACAATTTAAGGCCATATGCCTTTTTTTGAGTTAAAATACGTTACGGACGAATAAGTGGTAATTATTTTTAAATTAGCCTTAATGGGAGATCCTAGATATACGGAGCTTCGGTGGCTAGAAAAAAGATAACGACTATTCTCTTTAATGTTGGGACCACTTCGACACGTATACGCCTATGAGATCAAACTGCAAGGTGTCACAGCAAATAGCAGCGTGTAGTAATATGATAATAATGATAATGCGATCGCTATTGCCAAAGATACTTAACTGGCCGGAATGTTGAGAAATAGAAGTTCCACGAACTATATTATTATAGACCGCTCATGTCATATCCGTGGTTCGTGTCATTATCATCCATTAAAAAATTGATTCTTTATGACTTCCTTGTTTTTTTCGTCAGCAATTTATGTCAAAGAACTAAGATGATTGTAAGAAGTGTATCGAAACAAAAAAAAGAGAAGTTTACTTTGTTAAAAATTATTCATTTGTAACCTCAATACAGTATTTTGTGATATATTTTATGAAATTTCAAAATTCTATAGAATGGAATTCTTTTAAATAAGAGTAATTTTTAATATAATAATTTTTAAATAAATAGACTCGCGATAAACGAGGAAATATATAATATTTATTAAGTTCTCCGTTGACATGTCTTATTACTTTCATTTTTAATTATATCAGCAATTTTATATAGTGTTACATAGATATTTTTTTAAAGAATTACAAGAGATTTTTTATATTTTATATTTTTTACTGATTATTTTTCAAAAGCTGTTTTGGCAAAAATACATTGTAGCGTATTTTTTTATAGAAGAGTAACGTGTTATCATATTCTTTGTAGAAAAGTATTATTTTATATTTTTTAATTTATAAAAAATATTTATTTTGTAATATATTTTTTTATTTACGCAAATTTAGCGCTAAATGAAAATTAGCGCTAGCTAGCAAGAAAATGTTAACAAAATTCTGACAATTTTTATATTTTATTTTTGAGACGAATGTACACTTTTACTAAAAAAAAAAGTCTTTGTGGGCTTACGTATAAGAATACAATGGGAGCGTTTATCGTGTCGCGGGAATCGGTAGTCAAGCGCGAAACGAATTTCATCTCGATCGCGATCACGTTGACAATCGATCGATCGGCTCTCACACATAGTCAAATACGATCATCTTCTTTTTCCACGCGGTAAATCCGAACCCGAAGCATCCGACGAAAGACGGAGCTGTCCGCGTGGTTCGCTCGCTCGGTTAATCATCCGATATATTAATTTCGGATGATTGGCCACGACAACCAAATCGAAGACAGCGTGTTCAATAGTCTGTGCTGGTCTCTAGAGCCCGCTATATCAGATCGGTGTCTTATGGTAGCTTGACAGATTGACACTGTCCGTCGGATATTAGTGGCAATATGTTCCTTTAATTAAAGCCTCTCTGCCACGACGGGCCGCGGCCAGCGATTTTGTCTCCCACTTTCGCCCTCTCCTCCCCTCTGCCCGTTCTCTCTCTCGCGATCTAGAGATCGTCGTCAATCGATCGTGATTTGATGTAGGACCGTCTCTCAGGTAAGACGCTAAATGCGGACGCGCGTGGAATCCACGCCTGGCGATCGATGATCGAATTAAGCACGACACCGTCGGGGATGCCTGACGATCGGCATTCATTCGTGAGATGTGGGAGATAGTATATTATTAACGAGACAGCTCGTCGGCCCGAAGAAATAAAGCGATGGTTTAATTAAGTGAATAAACGTCGCGCTTTCATTTATTTTTGGATATTTTCAAACGCTCCGCAATATTCAGATATAGCCGTTATTTGCTATCGCGTATAAAATTATGTGTTAATAATATGTGATATAAAAAAATTGTTATACAGAATATTTTTATATAAGATCGCTAATAATTGACAACCATATTAATTGTGGAAGCACAAAGCTAAGACGATTCGACATTCAGTTCTACTTTCTATATAATCTAAAATTTTACGATAACTCCATTTTTCTTCGTTTATTATTCACTCAGTTTTATTTCTTGAGATGCATATAGTAACATTTTACTTGAGAAATTGTTCTTAAATTAGGTAAAAATTTAATTATATTTATTTTTTTATAAGCAGTAATTATCTTTTTGTCTTCTAGTTTTGGATGAGCTGTCGTATATTATACATCAATGGCAGTTATGAATTATTATAGAATTATATGCTGAATATAAAATACGGAAGAGAAAATACTAGTATTTGTATGTGAGATAAATACATTTATATACGAAATTTATAATAATATTAACAAAAAAATTGATAGCAAAAATAAGAAAGGCGACAAAAGGGTAGGTGACAAATCAGTTTGTCGAATAAAAATCGCTTTGTGTTGGCGAAGCATTCAGTGGAGTCAAAAATTACGCCCTAAAAATGAATGGTGGACTCCTGTCGGGAAAAGGTTGGACATAAATCTCGTCTACAAAATGCATTATTGGACGGTGTGCATCGATGACAGGGGAGGCAATGTGTTAACCGGTCGTTCCGGGTGACAATTCTCGCCGTCATTTATCTGTGACTCCGTTCGCGGACAGCTCGCCTTAGGAAGTCTTATGTAACCGTTATATCGTTTTTATTGAACTGCCTTGTAAGCGATTCTATGTATTCCTACTTCCGTATTACACTGCACTCGCTTATTGAATTACCGTTATTAGGGAATAACATTATTACTAAATTGTTGTTATTAAATGATTGTATACATTACAGAGTACATAATGATCTGTTTCTTATTGTTACTTCTTTTTCACTTTGAATACTTGATTAAAAATTCAATTTTTTTTGTCGGATTTTTTAAAGTTTATATTTTTATCTCTTGATGGATAAAAAAATTTGAAACTTCAAAATTGTTGAGTTTTCCTTGTTTCAAATGATACAAAGCGGTCAATGTCATATTTTAAACAAATCTGTAAATTGTATGCGGAGACTATGTTGCTATAAAGGATAAATCTGTTATTAATTGTACACGTACGATGTCGTATTTTAATCTTTAATGTAACATCTTCTTAGAAATCCAGCTTTTGCAAGACGTCGTAAATAGGATCTATTGACACACGTTGAGACCATTATCTGTTACAAGCTGAAGACAGATCGCGGTTAGGAATCTAGGCGGGAGAAATATACGACTTTCTAGGCCACCCGTCTTGACTAGAAAGATTTTAAGCAACACGTGGAGTAGGGCTACCGAATCCTGCTGTTCGAGCTATTCTTTTCCTTTCGGAAGTTTTATAGAAAAGAGAGTTATATAAGAAAAGAGGAAATGTAAATACTTCTTGTAGCAGGAGTAACAAAAAGCGAATAATAACGCAAATTCCGAAGCGTTCAGCTAGTTTTGTTTGATTGACAGCTGAAATAATAAATAAAAAATAATAAGCAATAAATAAGCAGTATTATAAATAGCAGAAGTATTTTACAAATAAAATAAATATTATAAAAGTAATAACATAGTACTACATAAATATTTTTTGTTCATATTTTACAGCAGTCTTTATTTATAAAAGTAGGATTTTTTTCCGTGTGATATAAGGAACTATTTTACTTCAGAAACGTTGTCCTAAAACAGATGAAATTGCCCGATTACGTCACGTACTTGAGATCAAGTACGATCGTTCGATAATGTCTTATTGTTAGTAACGATACCGAGGGAGATTCTTGTAGGTTTCTTTTTTTTCAAATCGTCAATTCGACTGATGATACATCGGAGGCTCGCTTATCTATCCGTCCATTCCCGGATGCTCTGGGGAAAAATTCCTAACGGGCGAGTAAAGGAGGGGAGGGGAGGGGAAGGAAAAAGCGCATGAGGATCCACGCTACCGGCGGCGCCTATCTTAATTCCCGATTGACGTTTATTTATCTGGCGACGTTTAATTTTTATGGGCGCGATCCGGCCGATAGCTTAGGCCCAGCAGGTAGCTCCCGCTGTGTGGTCCCG